TCGAAAGATAATTTTACGTTACCAAACAACTTCCACATCAAAGAATTACATTATATATGTAACAGCTGTCATTGCTGTCAGCGTAAATTTAGCTGAAACAAAATACGTTACCAAAAACAAGCAAGTAATATGACCAAATGAATTAATTTTATTTTATGACAGCTGTCACTTCACAACAATGACAGTTCTCATATCACAACAAATACCGTTAAAAGAAAATGCGTCTCTGATCTGATCTAATCAGAGAATGTCATACGATTATCTCACAATATCCAAAAAAAATTCTAAGGGACAATTGACAGCTGAAAAGACACCCAAATGCTTACTGAAGAATCAAAGGCAACATATCTATAATTAATAATAAATTATGTGATAGAAACTTTTTAGAAATAACATGTGACAAGTGAAAATTACAAATGACGGTTGACAAGTGGCAAATATAAATTTATCTGTCAGAAATGTCTAAATGAATTTCGTTCAAGAAAGTTTTTCAGACACACACCTATTTAATTTAGACTTGGCATATAGTTGCCAGGTTTTTAGACATATTTTTCTTTTGGAGTTACCAACTACCTAAAAATTAATCTAACGAAATATGAGTTAAACAAAAAACGGTGATGAAAACTTATCGGTTGATTATGCATGACTTACAGTTATTAACTATTTAAAAGAAATTTTAAAACATCGGCTTAAAAAAAATTAGACCAAAAGTAAATATTTGTTAATCATACCGAAAAATTTTCGAAAATCAGCCGATTGGTCTTTAATTTAGACATATTTTGTCATCGAGTTGCCAACTATCGTTAAAAATAAAGCAAAATATATTGTGCAACACCTTTCAGACACTAGGCGTTCAAAAGATTCCTCCGGAAACCCTTTCAGTACTCTTTGCTGTAAATAAAAAATTTATATACCAGTTTTTTGAACATCTCTTGAGATAGAGTTGCCACCTAAAAAGTGAAAACATTGCGAAATATACGTCAAACATATGTAGATTTGGGGTAAAATTTTTTATACTAATTGTAAATTCTATTATGATAATTCGTTTATTTAAAATATATTATGTTCATTACCAAAAAACATATTTCTTAATACATTGTCTTCAACCAAAAACTTCTTCACCACTTTTCGTTATCTGAATTGTAGTATAACGAGGTTCCCTACTCTTTTTTAAAGAACAACCAAAAAAACTTCAAATTTGATGTTGTTGTTGGAATGTTTATTATCATTCGAAAAAAATTCTTTGACATATATTTTTTGAAGATTATTTATTTCATATGTTGGCCGCGGCTACGTCTCAGATGTTCCATTTTCCAATGACGCGTGATGTTTTGCTCCAAGGCCTGAATAGAAGCTTGATTGTCCGCATAAATTTTAACTTTATATATTCTCACAGGAAATAGTCTGACGGTGTGATATCACACGATCTTGGTCCAATCGACAGACCCAAAACGTGAAATTGTCTGCTCACTGGAGTGTTTTCTCAATAAATCCATTGATTGATGCGATGTGTTGGAAGTGGCGCAATCTTGTTGAAACTAAATGTCGGCGAGATTACGAGCTTCAATGTCAGGCATCAAATATTCAGTTATCACCTCATCATTTTTAAAGAAAATGAACCGATGAATCCACCGATCCAAAAACCACACCAAACTATTGTTTTTTCGGGATGAAATGGCAGCTCTTGAATCTTTCCAAACTGCAATTCGTCAAAATGTGGCAATTATGCATTGAGCCAGAAATGGGCCTCATCGCTGAAGAAAACCTGATTCGAAAACATCGGATCTTCTTGGAACTTTTTAAGAGCCTATAAAGCATAGCGATGGCACTTGGGAAGGTCGAGAGGTTCCAGTTGTTGCACAAGCTGTATTTTGAACGCTTTCAATCTAAGATTTCGAAGAAAAATGCGCCTAGTCGTTCCATATGTCAGTCCAAGTTCCTGCGAACGACGACGCATCTAGTCTCCACGATCTTCGTGTACACTCTGAACTGCGGCTGCTATATTTTCTTCATTGCTTGCTGGACGTAATTATTCAGTCGAAAATTATCCAATAATGAATGCTGGGTCTCAATATGGGTGATGGTGTTGCGAACAGTATGTTCACTAGGCCGATTATGTTGACCTTAAGTTGAGCGAGGCGCGCGAAACACATCCTCTACAGAACGTGAATTTTCGTAATAAAGTTGAACGATCACGCGTGATTGTCAAAAAAAAGCTATTGAAAAAAGTACCTCTGCTTGGATCACCCGTTAGTATGCCATAAAATTGGAGGTGAACAAAAGGATTTCTAACGATTTTTACTCGTATACATATTATATTACGTAAGTATAGCTATAACAGTTTTATATAATATACTCGTAAAGAATCTACTCTCTTCGCAAATGCCTGACAGCCACATTTATCCAAACATCTTCACATGCAAATATTAGCATAAAAGTGTAATATTTGAAATCTGTGGCACACAATCTTTAACTCTCTGATAGCGTGTGACGTCTAACAAGCAGCTGTAAAAAGTGCAAAAATGTATTTTACTGCATATGAAAAAAGACGTGTGCAATAAAAGCTAAAGCTTGCCGCCTCAACTTATTAAAGTTCGTAAGCAAGTTCGTACGTTCGACTCAAATATGGATTATTACACTTTGGTTGCAAGAAGCTGGTACTTACATAAACAGTATGAGTATATTGAGCTGCCTTTTTTTCTGAATAGAATTGGTATGTAAGAAATTGAGCACTTGTGACTAACTGTGCCAAAAACGAAAGGATTTAAAATTGTATTTATTTATAAAATTGATTATTTGGACCCCGAAGAATAAACTGTAGAACAAGCTGACATATATAAGTTACAAACACAATATCTTTCAATATGTAAAAAGTGTTCACTAACGTAATAATGTTTTCTATGGTCAATATTTAATAATTCAAAAATTACGAAAAATTACGAATTAGATCTGGACACTTATTGCATTTGCACTAAAAATAGTTCTGCGAACCAGAATGGAACTCAGTAGATACCACATTGTTGGCATCCCGCTAAAGGCTCTGATTAATTAATCAGCAACATAATCTAAATAGAATGTTGAAAACTGTTGCTAACTGACATCGGCAAGAGGTTTTATAAACATTACAACTGTTAAGCACAAAAATTAAGCAGAAGAGGAGGAAGTTAGTTTTCAATTGTATACATTTTCACTTTTACAGCGATACCTTTGTTGGGTACTCTACAAGGACAAGTGGTGCTTGTGGCGGCTACAGCGTTGTTGGCCACAATCGTTAATGGTGCTGACTCGCTTTCTGCATTGCGGCGCTGACATTGTTGCTGACAAACACTCGATTGTTGCTTACAAAACGTACAGTTCTTTTCGAGTGTTTAATGGCTTTGGATTGCTATGCATTTAACTAGTATATATGTATATAAATGTATGTAAGTATACTATATACATATATAATATATAATAAAATATAAGTTTAAAAGGAAGTATGTATATATTGTAAGCAGGGTTGCTACCTACTGTGTTTTTTACATGTTAGAATTAATAATCTACATATACATATACTTACATAAATTATGATATATTTGTAAGCAGAGATACCGACTATCTAAAAGCACAAAAATTAACTAATAACAAGTAAGGAAGGGCTAAGTTCGGGTGTCACCGAACATTTTATACTCTCGCATGATAAAGTGATAATCAAGATTTCAGACGTGATTGTGAACCGATTTCACCCATATTTGGTACATGTCATCAGGATGTTAAGAAAATATTATATACCGAATTTCATTGAAATCGGTCTAGTACTTCCTGAGTTATGGTTTTGGTCCATAAGTGGGCGACGCCACACCCATTTTCAATTTAAAAAAAAATTGGATGCAGCTTCCTTCTGACATTTCTTCCGTAAAATTTAGTGTTTCTGACATTTTTTGTTAGTCGGTTAACTCACTTTTAGTGATTTTCAACACAACCTTTGTATGGGAGGTGGGCGTGGTTATTATCCCATTTCTTCCATTTTTGGACTGTATATGGAAATGCCTAAAAGAAACGACTGTTTACAGTTTGATTGACATAGCTATAGTAGTTTTCGAGATATGTACAAAAAAGTTAGTAGGGGACGGGGCCACGCCCACTTTGCCAAAAAAAGTACGTCCAAATATGCCACTCTTTAATGCGATCCTTTGTGCCAAATTTCATTTTAATATCTTTATTTATGGCTTAGTAATGACACTTTATAGGTTTTCGGTTTCCGCCATTTTGTGGGCATGGCAGTAGGCCGATTTTGCCGATTTAGTGATGTGGCCTACATAACTGATCTATAATTTTTGAATAAAATTTGGAAACTAAAATATTAAAGTCAAAATATTGAGTTTTTCATTTTTCTTTGTATTATTTGGAAATAAAAAATTATGTACTGCTCTAGAAAACACCCTTTATATATACAATTGTACAATTAAAATATTAAATAAAATGTGAATTATGGCATTTAGGCTTGAAACTATTATTTCACACCACACAACAACAAGTTCAACAAGTTCCTTGAATAAAAGCGGTTTTTATGAAACAGAAAATTTCAAACGAATTCTATGAAAGCGATTGATAAACAATTTGCGCTTACACAATAACAATAAACACACTTGTTTGTTGCAATAAAGCGCAGAAAAGTACCGCTAGGTTGCGCGCCACTAGAGCTTAAATGAAATTAGTACTATTTTAAACGTTTTTGTGCACGAATGTAAGGCGAGCGGCAGGAGAAATAAAAATTGAATTAAATTAAAAAAATTTATAATAAATTTCTTATATTAAAAAAAAAATTAAAATATATGCATAAAAAAATAAACAGAAAGATTTTAAAGATGACGCGAGTCCAGTTATATGCAGCGAAAATTCGTACATTGTTTTTATTTGCACTACACTGTCGTTTTTCACACGCCGTTATCACCTACCAACAATGCGCTGACATGCATACGCAGACGTTGTGTGTTTGTAATCACGACTTGGATGCAACAATGCGAATTGTATGCGCACTAAACGCAACTACTGATAACAAAAGCAACAAAATCAACAACAACAACCAAAGCGGTACTACACTAACAATACATATATACAGAAGCGAACAGGTGCGCATATACTGTCACGACTACGAGAACGGGAGCGCCGAAAGTGAGCGCGTATTCGAGATGCTACCGTCACTGCCCATCGGTCCAGATTTAATGCTATTATTGGTCAGCGGTTGCAATAACTCCGATGTCATTTTGCGCCGCTTCAATATACGTCATGTCAGATTGCTAGAGTTAAGCGCTGATACAATAATGACAAGCGCAAAGCTAACGCGTCAACAAATACCCAAATCGCTGCTGGTGGATAGTTTGACGCTCACTGCCTACACACAACTAGCAGCAGATCTGTTCGCTGATTATAAGCAATTGCGATTTCTCGAAATACAAACAACACAACTGGATTTGCCATTGACTATTTTCCAGCCGCTAACGAATTTGATTGGGCTTACGCTGAAAGCGCGCATCAAACAAGCAGCGCCACTAAAGCTGTTGCGCGCGCAAAGCCGTTTGTTAAATACCGTGCTAAGCGATGGCGCGCTACCGAGTCTGACGACAGCAAATTTTAGCCACTTAACACAATTGCAATCGCTGCATTTGCCGCGCAATAAGCTCAGCTATGTGCCAGCGCACGCACTTGCACCGCTCACCGAATTGCTGCGCATTAATTTGAGCGAAAATCGTTTACGCGCGCTGAATGCCGCAATGTTCGCGCAACAGCTGAAGCTTGTCGCCATCGATTTGAGCGATAATGAATTGCAGACGCTGCCTATGGAGTTGTTTACGCACACGCAGCGCTTGCAAGAGCTTCGCCTGTCGCATAATCAGCTGAAGCAAATACCCAACACGTTGTTCGCGCCGCTAAACTATTTAAAAGTATTATATTTAAATAATAATCAACTAAGCAGCTTGCAGCCAGATACTTTCGCCCACAATGATGAGCTACAGAAACTTCATTTGCAATACAATCGACTTGAAATAGCCGCACCGGCGATATGCACAATCTTTGCGACATTAAAAAATTTAGCTGAATTGCTTTTAAACAACAACCGGCTGACACATATCTGCGAGCAGCCAAGCGGCAAGAACAAGGGGCATATTGATATGTCACACAATCAAATTGATATGTTGCGCGCGCCTGGTTTGGTCGCGCTTGCCTGCAGTTGGGCGCGCGTAGATCTGTCATACAACGCGCTGCAAAGTATTTTATTACCTACGCCGCTTCATAGCAATAAGTCGTTAGCGGCGCTTAAGTGTCACAGCACGCTAGCGCTAAATCATAATGCGCTACACTGCGACTGCCATTTGTTGAACTTTGTGCTGGCGAAACAAGCGGGTTTTCTGAACGCGCTAACGCAACTGAATACAACCAACCTGTACTGTGGTACGCCAGTACAGCTACGTGCGCGTCCAATTGACACACTGCAGGCTGAAGAGCTTTTGTGTCCAGTCGCCGCGCAATATTGTCCCAGTAAGTGTCGTTGCTGGGCGCGCACTTATGACGCAACGCTTATTGTCAACTGTACGCAAGCGCGCCTGCAAGCAGTGCCCACACTGTCCACTGTCTTGAATACAACGCTTACAGCCATCGAGCTGCACTTAACAGACAATATTATCAGCACGCTGCCAATAAATTCAACTGTCGGTTATGCGCTTGTAACGCGCTTATATATTGCTGGCAATCGGCTGCGCGTCATTGAAGCGTCGCAACTACCCGCCCAGTTGAAAAGCCTCGATGTGCGTCACAATAACCTAACACAACTCAGCAACAGCTTTTATACGCTACTCAATGCAAGCGCAATATTAAATGAGATTTATTTGTCGCATAATAATTGGTCTTGCGATTGCGACGCCGAGCAGCTGCTCATTACGGCGAAGGTACATCATAAGCGCATACGCGATCTGGATGAGCTCACTTGCGCGGATGCGCGCTATGCCAAACTACTGGAGCTTGCTTTCAACGATATCTGCCCAACAGATATGAGTCTACTATTTGTGACCATAAGCTTATTAGTGGCCGCTCTAACGCTGGCTGTCGTCAGCGCGCTTTATTTCAGATATCAACTTGAGTTCAAAGTCTGGCTGTACGCGCACAACTATTGCCTTTGGTGCGTAACAGAGCATGAATTGGATAAGGACAAACCATTTGACGCGTTCATTTCATATTCTCACAAGGATGAGCATTTCGTCGTGCATGAACTACTGCCGGGCTTGGAACAGGGCGACTTACCGTTTCGTGTGTGCACACATGAGCGTAATTGGCTTGCCGGCGCTTATATACCGGAGCAAATAATCGAATCGGTTGAGCAATCGCGTCGCACCATAATTGTATTATCGCAACATTTTATTGAATCGCCATGGGCGCGCATGGAATTTCGCACAGCACATCAAAGCGCTTTGAACGAGCGTCGTACGCGCATAATTATTATTATGTATGGTGAGGTTACGCATATGGACGCGCTGGATACAGAGCTGCAAGCTTATTTGAAAATGAACACCTATTTGAAGTGGAATGATCCGTTGTTCTGGCGCAAATTGCGTTACGCCATGCCGTTCAAGCGTCGCTGTGCGCTTGATGAGACGCATGCGCCGCGCTTTATTTATAGCGCAATGGAATTAAGAGAGTTGAATGAACGTGCGCGCGCCGAAAGAAAAATTTAAATTCCTATGAATACATACTTAGACACTCCACTAATTGCGTATTTTATGTAAATATAATATATTTGAAGATAATATAGTAGTTATTTAATGTATTTCGTTTTATGTATTAATAAATAGTATAGAGCGACTTATAGAGTTTGGTCTTTGTTTTTCGAGAGTTTCGACTTTACTTCTCAATTGCCTACTTAGTCTGTTGGCAAGAGTTATTCTGCGTTGGATTTCGAGGCTGGTGCTGTTGTTGGTGTTAATGCTGTTTCCAAGATAGACGAAATTATCTACGATTTCGAAGTCAACAGTGACGTGGAAGCCAAGTCACTAGGGCGACGACTGTTTGTTTCATGTCAGGAGATATTTCGTCGTGCCCTCGTCCACTACCATTTGTTTCGCTTCTTTGTTCAAACTGGAGAAAACAGAACTAATGGCGCGATTATCATGGCCAATGATATCGATGTCATCGGTGTACGCCAGCAGCTGTACACTTTTTTTCTATTCAGATCTGCAGCTCAAATCATTTTCTCCAGAAGTAGATTGAAGAAGTCACACGATAGGAAGTCACCTTGTTTAAAACCTCGTTTGGTATCGAACGGCTCGGATAGGTCATTCCCGATCCGAATATATATATGTACATACATATGTGAAAATTTGAGTAGTTGATCCAGCAAATAGTTTCGGAGTTATGAGGGCATGGTCGGCTTAAAATGTTCACAAGACCATCTAAAATATATTTAAGAACAATTACAATTTTTAAGCCACTCTAATGTTTATAATTTTTTTTTTTTTTTGTCAAAAATCAACTTCGTTCATTACCATAATTATAATAATAAAAATAATATAAAAAAACCTTAAAATCCACCACTGTACACCTCAAGTCCAATGTCTTGCAAAAGCAGTCGATTTGCCGTTTCTGTTGGCGCACACCAAGTAGCTGACATTGTATTTGTCTCGTTCGCACCTGGGGCAAGACTTCAAATCAGTTTGCCACAAATTACCTGTTTTTAGCCACAAGCATCCATACAAGTATATACATATGAACATCTGTACGTAGGTAAATCAGCTGCATTATTTGTCATTGTTAGTGCTGTGTTGCACTTTGCCTGTTTTTCTGCTGCTTGCTTTTGGCTTTGACTGGAAAATTTGCAATACAGCTTTGAATTGGCGGCGAATTTGGGTCAAGCGCTTGCTTTGCCGCTCTGAAAGCCTGCTTTGGCGTCTAGGGCAAGTTCCTAGAATGGTTCGTTTGTTCGTTGCGCATTCGTTTCAATCGTATTTGGCTTATTTGCTCGTGGATGTGTGCGTATTTGTTCCTCGGCTCATCTCAGCTGGCCAATTTATTTATCAATGCACTGAGCACGAGCTACTGATAAAGTTCGGTTCATATGTTTTCTATGACCAAGGATAGTACCTAGAAGCAGCGTAGACGAGTATGATTTACACGATGTCTGATCTTGTCCATGTCGCATCTTCTGTAAAAACTCTGAAAGCAAATTATATTGGTTTGTGACGTCATAATATAGGTAGGAGATCCATAAAAACTGCCAAGCCAACGAACATACATACATAGGTCGGTCACTGAGCGCCTACCAAGCCATGCTAAAGCTTCAACCGCGAATGTAAATTATATGCTTCATAAAATCTACTAAGTGCTACAAGAATAAATCAGAGGTGGTTAGTTTTGCTCCCAGCGTCTCCATTACCGTAGATTTCGCTCCGCTTTCGAAGATTGTATCCATCAAAGCTTTAAAGAGAATACAGAAAACACATTTTATTATATACTATAACTATTTATATTTCGTTTCTCTTCTACATGCTTCTTGGGGCTTTAAGCTTCTAAGAAAAATAACCCAACCACCACTGTTGCTTGGTATCAAAATATTGTATCATGAGGGAATAAGGTGTATGTAATGGACCAGATACTACTAATTTAGCTGGTAGAGTCTACCAGAAGGTCTAAAACTGTTAAACCGTTGCGACTATGCACCAGCTTTCAAACTAATGGTTAGTGGTAAAACGCTTCGACCTAACTAAAATAATACGCTTTCCCGACCAACCAAGGTAACGAAATCTTCCTTTTCATCAAGTTTCTAGGAAGTGGGTTCATACAATTAGTCCCAAGCAGATTCAAATTTGTTCACTCCGCCTTCCTTCATCTCCAACAACAACAGCAGGTCTGTCGCTGTTGCCGACTACGGAAATCGCCGCAGTATGCGACGCCGGCAAGCACTCAACAAGCGGCGTGCACCGGCGCTACTTTTTCATAATTTCGCGCGTAAAATCCACCCGAAGCTGACAGGCGACCAGCGCGCCTAGCAAGCCAAATGGTAGTTGTGCAAAGCGCGCCAAATCATATGATTGGCCCAACACAGTTTCTGCTGGTTAACTACCGTAATAGCATAGCATAGCAATAGTGGTTGTTCTGTTGCTGTCGTTTGTATGTCGCATTCAACGAACACACCCTCTTACGACGAGCGCGCGTGGCGAACACAACTGACGAGTGTGCACGTTGCCTTACACACATGGGCATGTGTGTGTCGCGCCACACAGCGCGCCGCCGGCATGTTAGCTGTATATCAGCACTTCAGCAGACCACGTGGTTGGTCTGCCAGTCAACCGACGTGCCCAAACGCCTGCCTGCTCACAAGAGCGGCGCGTCGTGACTGGCGAACGCGAAAACATCGCGTCATGTGAGTCACTAAATGAATAGGCGCACAAACTGCCACAGCTAGCCGACGTGGCGTAAATAAAAACCGACGCTAAACGGTCATCACATAAGTGCGAGCGAGCGCAATAGTTGTTGAGTCGGAAATGTGCCCATTCGAACATGATGGCGTCGACAACGTGAGCGGCCGCCACCAGCGTTGTTACGTTGCGCCATAGCGCCTGCAAGCAGCCAGTCAGCTGTTGTGCACAACATAGAAGCGTTGTGTTATAGCATAACATAGAGTTTCGAATGCTAACAAATGCGCTATTTTATTTGCGAATATCAACTAAGCAAGCGATTTGGGGCTTGTTGCGGCGGCTGCCAGCCAAGTAAACACGCGTTGCTGCCGTTGACGGTGGTCGTACACGTTGGCGTTGCGTTATTTCTTTCCAGTATCGTTGTCGTCAATGCTTCTTCTTCAACGGTCAACAAACTCAACACTCCGATTTTTAAATACTTATAATATCAATAGGCTCAAGGTTAAATGAGCGCTGGAAAGTGCGGAAAACCGATTACAATATTAATATTAAGAATGCATAACGGACAGATATGAAGACTTTTGGGCCGCCTTTAGTGATTACTGTGTACTTTGAATATATTTCGTGAAAATTTATGCATCTCATTTCTTCATAAAAATTATTTGCTACTACAACCATTCGGTCGGTCTTCCACTGCTTCTTCTTCCACTCTGCCGCTACTTGGTCGCGTCATTGTGATTGTTTTATCGGTATAGTATCGGTTAGCGCTAGCTGAAAGTCGTCATGTGCGTGATTAGGCCAGCAGCCGTTTAGAAACTATCCTTGAATTAAGTTAATTTTGAAAGCTGCTCGTTGGAAGTGGTACGTACACACACACACACACATGTCGCTACGTTTACATTTTTGTCAGCTGTGGTGTGCCATTTGCTGCGGTGGTTAGCGGTTGAATAGAAATCGCGTCATGTGAGTCACTAGCGCAACGGGCGCGCAGAGACAGCGTCTGGCATTTTTATACTTTCGTGCATTCGAGTAAACCGCCGCTAAGGAGAGAAATATAATATATTTTGAGTACATTTTGTTTTTACAATTCGAATGTGTAGCGAGTTATTCCAAGAGGGGCATTAATAATTCCAATTGGAATGCCCGCAAATGCTTATACACATACATACATATGTATACAAACAGCTGATTTGGTGTTGCTGGTGAACCATAAACATATGTTTTATGTTCCTGTGTGAACGTTGCATTCTTATTAGTGAAATAAAAAAGCTTTTTGTTTAAGTTGGCAGACGTGAAAATAAAGTCCTCTTGCTTTACTAATGACAATTTAGACAGCACTTTGCAAACTAAGCACCGGACATATTACAAACAAACTCAAAACACGAGAGGCTAAGAAAATTCCTCATCTCAATGCTCCAAAACTGACCGATATAAGTAGTGCGAAACCAACTATACATATATCCATGTCAACTCCGCAACACTAAGAAGAGTTCTCAGTAGCACGGTTTTAATGGGTGGATGCCCCGAAACAAACCATTTATTAGCCAGAAAAACCGAAAGAAGCGTCTGGAGTTTGTGAAGAAGTATGTCTTATAAGCTTATTAGCTGTTAATATTATCTTTTGCAGGTTTTATTTACTGACAAATGGTTTGACGGAAAAAGGACTGCGAGCTTAACCCAAAATCTTACTTCCAATATGAAGCACGTAGGCAGCTTGGTTATGGTATTGGGCAGAACAACGATCACAAGCACAAATCTTCTGTTGCGCACAGCGGTTAGGGTTTCAAGGTAAAAAGAATTGTATGCCGAATTTATTTCTTAAATATGGATTGAGTAACTTTATTCAGACCTTTTGTACATTATTGAGCACAATTTTGTCAATTCTTCTTCTTTACTGGCGTAGACAGACTCTTAGCCGAGTTAACAACAGCGCCCCCAGTCGTCTTTTGACAATATAGGGAGACGATATACATACATAGATTTTGAAGCATAAATTAAGAATTTTAAAATTATGGACAAATTCTTATTATTTTTGGCTCATGTAGTACATGTACAAGCTATAATGAGAACAAGTGAAGCGCGTTACACGCCCAGCAAGCGGCTTAATGGTTAACAAGTTGCAACAAATGTACACCTGTACGTGTATGTGGCACAGAATCCACCCCTAACCCATCCACACACCACGCGATAGTTGCGATTTACATTTCTCTCCCATGCGCCTTGCACAAACACGTGCCGCTCATGGTGAGAAGAGTGCGCTAACCAACACCAACGCAGACTTTTACAGCCGCGAAGACTAAAAATTAAAGGATGCTTAAAAAATT